GCTCTACGCGCGCCGGTCCTGCCCCTATGGCGGTGGAGGTGAAGCAATTTTACCTACCCGGTTAGGGCTGGGACCTTCGGTGCAGGTACCAGCCCTAAACTCGTTTTTTCCGTGCACAACTCCTCGAGTTGAACGAATGAAACACTCGTTCACATATCCATAAGTAATGTTAGGTGATTCTTCATAAGGCCTTGTCACCACGGGACGTTTTCATGGGATTTGTCCCAAGTTCGAATCGCAAGAATGAAACTTCTGGGATTTTTCCCAGTTACCGTCTCCACGGGACGGGGCTCATACAGTCCTGCGACTAGTTTGCGCGGAAAGATAAATTAGTGAAAGTCGAGTATTTAACCGGGATTAAAATAATAATTGCACTCAAATGACAATTAGACACATTTTTTAACTAAACAAACATTAACAATGTAGTAATGAATAAAATATCGCACGATTCGTTTTCACTTCTTCTTCTCTCAGTGGATCCTAAGGGTACAAGTACCATACTTGGTACTGGGAAAAATATTGATTAACTCAATATTTTTCCCAACTTCGTAAGTGGGATTTTTCCCTGGGACAAATCTCGTGAAACGGCTCGTGGAGACAAGGCCTAAGAGTTTCAATGCGAAGAATTTGAAAATTTACTACTTATACAAATCGAATCCAAACAATCGGCCATAGTGCCACAGCTGACTCCACTACGAACTCCGAAGCTCCCAACATTTTAATTCCCCGCGCGGCGGAGCCTCACTTTCGATCCTCTCACGTCTCGGGTGTGCGCCCCACGAACCTCGTGTCACCTGCTCCGACTCAGTACAGAAGGGTCCGAAGGAATACACCCGAAATCCTGCGAGTGACATTAGCGTTACTTTACCTCGAGTGATACGACTTTTTTCCAGCCCCTCTCTCTTATTCCTTCTAAACGACGCGGAATGCATGACACCGCAATCACACGCTGAATGTGGAAGTCATCGGCCCGATGCCTGAATTTTGCGCGTGGCAACTATTCTCAGCAACCATCGGACCAATTTTGAATTTGTCTGAACTATTCGAGTAGATTTAATACACATCTGGATGAAAATAACTCGAATTTGCTAAATTTCAGCCGTTGGGCGATGACTGTTGCCTTCCACATTCAGCTGCTAAATTCAGCTTCTGATTGCGGCTTGACTCCGATTAAAATCCGTCTTTCACTTGCGTGGGTTGAGGGATGGTATAGTCATGGTCTTGGGGTGCTGGGCCTCGCGAGAAGTTTGCTGTTGAGGTGACTTTCTTGGCGTGGGGGCAGCCTCTGTAGTTGGCCGGGTGATCCCCAGTGCACAGGATGCATTTGGCAGCTGAGGTTGATTTGTCACATTCGGAAGTTTTGTGCTGTCCCAAGCACTTAACGCATCTAAAGGGCCATTGAGCATCGGCTCTGGACGTGGCCATGACGTTAACGGTTCCGAAAAACCCGACGTTACGTTACTGTATCACTCCCAACTTAGAACCCATTCTCCATTTACAAGAGTTTCCTTGTTTCCTCCCTCCCCACGGGAGTCGAACCTACAAATACGACATCGTGATTAAAATCCGGGACGGACCCCGCGTACAGATGAAGGAAAAAAGAAACTCCAACCAAAACCACAATCAATTAACCAGCGGACCTCCTAGTACCTCCGCAATTAACCTCCACATGAAACGTGTCGTGAAGAATAATCTGGGTATACCCGTTTATTTCCCCGCAATCCCCCTTCCCCTTCGCTTCCTATCATGGAATGACATAAACACTCACCACTTGCTTCACTTCGTTTAAAACGTCTTCGCCGAGGATCGTGTAGGACGCCCTGCTTTTCTCGTCTTCCTCGCGTGCTCCTCCAGTTAGTACGCAAAATCAATTTCATACCCCTGCATCCCAATGTAATTTTTGCTGATTTCTTTCTTTTAAATCATAGTAATAGCGGCATCGCTCATTTATTTCTAAACGCGCGGTTAATTCTTCAATGGAATACCAGACAAGGTACGAATTTAAGCAATCTGATACAAGTTTCTTAACCAGAATTTCACGTAAAACACGATGCGCACAACGAAAATTACCGATTCAACTCCTTACGAAGATATTTAATGATTCTTGATGCGTGAATTCAAACCACCCACTCATGAAAACTCAATGCTCTACGTGATTCACATCGCGCGCTAAACGTTATCATGACAGCCTCTGCGATATAAAAATCTGGCAACGTCAATCTTGACGCTTTGACTGAGCTATAGCAAATTGCTAATAGTTTGTACAACACATGGGGGGAAATGAACATTGCTCGATTGAGAAGCTTGCTGAAACTGTTGTAGTGCGCGATTTGACTCACGTAGAGCTTTGAGTTTCTTGTGAGCGGGCAGTTCAAATTCCTGGTAACCAATGTGAAATAAAAACGTTAATATCTTCGTTAGGAGTTGGTTTCATTAATTTTGTTGTATGAATCGTGCTCTACGTGAGATTCTGATCAAGAAACATGTATCAAACTGCTTAAATTCGTACCTTGTCTAGTGGTCCATTCCACATTTCTCTGGTTATGCTGTTAATTTAATATGTTCCTTTTTAGTTAAATTTTTCAGTAGTCGATGGGGAGGATCCCCGCAGCAGCTTTGCAACTCAGCGGCAAAGCTACGAGCCTCTCCCATCATGACTGTTTTGTAGTTTGAATTCTTGACAGCGTGTGGGAGATGGTTTGTAGCAAACATTTTCACCTCCAAACTACTTCTATTAAAGGTACATTCACGTTGTTACTATAACAGGGCGGGGGATGAGCTTACTTCAAGAGGAATTGGATGAAACTTCTGGTGAGTCTGTATTTTTTGAACATTTTCTATCACCGTATGTTTTTTGTTTTTTCCCTTCATTTTTCTGTCGACGAAAAACTGCGAAGTGAGAATGGATACTCATGTACTTTTGCTTCTATACTTTTTACAATTCTTTGTAATAGATTCTCATTAGACCGAGACCTTAACTCGTTGGAATTCAACGATCAGGATCATTCAGCTGGTTGGGATTCAACGATCAGGATCATTCAAGCTGGTTAGAATTCAACGATCAGGATCATTCAAGCTCGTTGAAATCCAATGATCAGGATCATTCAAGCTCGTTGAAATCCAATGATCAGGATCATTCAAGCTCGTTGAAATTCAATGATCAGGATCATTCAAGCTCATTCGGGCTCATTAAAATCCAATGATCAAGTGAACGATCTGGATCGTTCATTTTTCAATGAGCTTGAATGATCCATTTTTTCTCGGGGCGGTTTTCGCATGTCCCGATTCAATTTCGCTCGAATCAAGATGAAAAAAGTTCTTGGCGGCAAATTCATGAATCATCATGCTTGAGCCAAGCGCGTTTTTTTTTCAGTGATTTTCCGGCAGGTTTGGGACATATAAAAGGCTAGCTATTGCCTTTCGACCTATCCGTCCCGTGCCTCCGACGCTAACTCGTTCTTTTTTTCAGTGCAACCGAAACGACGCAATCCAGAGTGCATAATCAACATCTTCCCGTATGAATCCCGACATAGAAAAGGCTAGCTATTGCCTTTCGACCTATCCGTCCCGTGCCTCCGACGCAAACTCGTTTTTTTTTTCAGTGCAACCGAAACGACGCAATCCAGAGTGCATAATCAACATCTTCCCGTATGAATCCCGACATAGAAAAGGCTAGCTATTGCCTCTCGACCTATCCGTCCCTGCCTCCGACGCAAACTCGTTTTTTTTTTTCAGTGCAACCGAAACGACGCAATCCAGAGTGCATAATCAACATCTTCCCGTATGAATCCCGAGGCGACCGAGATCGATTATGAGCGGAATTTTCGAGGGGAATTTCCGAACTCGATTAGATATTCCGAAGCGGTGCAGCTTTCGGCGCATCCCTCGGAATTTCGGAGTGGAAGTTGGAAGGGATGCTCCGGCTCCTCGTCGCGAACACCTCCCCCCGTCGGAGATCGTTAGCCGTGTTTGGAAATGCACCGAAACGCAAAAGAAAATAAAAATACATATTCATAACGGGAGTTCCATCTAGTAAATTAAGGGAGCTTGACGCCCCGCGACCCGGCGCACAATGCGGCACCCTTACGGACGATGCGGACAAAAATCGGCAAAAGACACTTAACTGACAATAATGAAGATAATAGCACCGACACACATTGGATCGAGTCAATTGGAGAGGTCGGACATGAAATGTTGGACTAAAAGTGCGAACTTTCATGTTTATTTCTCCATATTTTAAATTTTAAGGGACGTTTCCAGAGGAAATTTTCACGAGGAAACCAATGAAACCACTTTTAGGACCTCAAAGTGGTGTATTAACGGAGTTATGAGCGTTTAAAGTTTCCAAATTTTGTCCAACCTCTCCCATTGACTCGATCCACTGTGCGACAAAGGAAAACCCTTTGGCACTATCCAAGTAAAACACTCGAGGAATAAGAAAATGTTATACCTCGGGTTTTTTTTGCGTATTTTTCAAGAAAAGTTAATTCAAAGTTGGCAATCTCGAATTAGCACTGTGTTAACAATGTAAAAGCAACGTGAAACATCTAAACTTTAACTTCAAATATCTCTGATAGTCGCAAAAAGTCGCAAGATCTTTTTCGTAGAATTGAAGTTGGATATATCTGAGGATTAGGAAAATGTCAACCACCCAGAGCATTTTGCGTTTCAAGTGAGAAATCTCCATTTGAAGTTGACGTCTTTTTCCCGTGTATTTCTTACGGACCAGTGATTCCCGACCTATTTCCTGCCCGCTTTCTACCCGCATTTGAGGTAGTTTTGAGCGGAAAATTCGAAAATGAACATCATAACGAGCCAGAAATATCTTTAAGATAACAAACTCCGAAAAAAATATTCAGATTTCGAGTTGTGAATTTTTGACTTTGGTCCACAGAGGGCCGCACTGTGCGGCGAGCGGGGAGGGCTCGGGCCCGCATGCGCCCGGCGCCCCGGAGGAGAACACTAGCGCTCCTAGCTTTTCCGGCCGCAGTACGCTCGGAATCATCCCCGAAAACAACCGCCCGATCCGGAGCGCGCCGGTACCCTCGCGAATTCCACAAGGAAATACCGCGGAGTTCTCGAAAAAAAAAATTCGCCTTTGATACCTCGTCACCCAGAACGGTACCTTCGCGGACTCCGTAAGGAATTACCGCGGAGTTCTCGAAAAAAAAAAATTCGCCTTTGATACCTCGTCACCTGGAACCTTACCTTCGCGAATTCCGTAAGGAAATACCGCGGAGTTCTCGAAAAAAAAAATTCGCCCCTAATACCTCTTCACCTATAACGGCGTGTTTTTGTCACAGCACGTTGAACGAATTTGATCACGCCATTTTTCGTGTTGTGCATCGTGCTTTCGTTCGGTGTTAAATTTTTTAATTGAAAAAATTCGCAGCGACTATCTGGTGAAAAATTTACGCGCTAAAATTGATTCTTCTTTCAGTGGTGCGAGATCGCTTAGTGGCCAGTTTATAAACGCCCTCAAGTTTGCATCATTTATACTCGACGGTGTCTTTTCAGTTCTGAAACCGGAAATAATTACTTTTGAGGTGGTTTTGAATTTAATTGATATGTGCGAAAATGTGACAGTTCCTTTTGTATCGGGAACGAGCGGTTGAGTTTTTAGATTTAATGCTATGAATGTGTATTTCGTAGATGAAAACCGAATCATATCATCAGCCTTGCGTTGCTCATTGCTTTAATTAAAAGGCTCTCCTACTGTTGTGTGTTGATCGATGGATATATCGAAAGCATAAAATATATGTAAGAAAACTTTCGGAAGCGCAAATTGGATGCAGCGTACCTAATCTCAGTGTTTCCTGCCGTCCCGTATTTCAAAATCGGATCCATCGTTTCCTCGAAACTTTCGTTTTTGATGTTCCAATGTAGATCCGTTTTAGTGAATAATTGCAAATTCATCGGGAATTTTTTTCTCTCTATCTCTTATTAGCGTGACTCCCCCGATCACGATTGTGTGGCTGTGCGGTTTCCGAAAAAAATAAGCTCAGTGCTCAAATTGCTCTAAAATCGTTTTATAATATCTTTTACTTTCGTGAGAAGTGATCAAGCCCTCTGCTTAAACTTATTCTATTTCAAGGATTCGCACGTTGCGAGTGGTGTCATAGTTTCGGCTTATTTAAGTTACTTTTATTGCTGTATTTTGCTGTGTCCACGCTTCAGCTCTCTTCAGAGAGGTCTCGACGATTTTTCTTGGAGATCCTAACTCAGGTACCTCTTTTAGAATTCTTATTTACCTTCCCTTCGTTATACTATTAATCGTACTTTTTACCATATTCTTACATGAAGTGTAATGAACAGTTTTGCTCTCAATTTTTGAGAGAATTAAACTCCTCTCCTACATAATGGACGTCATAACTGTTTTATGTGTTGTCACTGCCGTATAGTTTTTCTCGGACAATAATTTCTACCATGACAGGACATGAGTGTAAGTCTGCTCGAAACTCGGATGGTTTCATTTCCTTTTTTTTTCTTTTTTTGCGGGGGGTGGTGTGAACGGGGTGGGAGATTTAAGACTGTGCTCACGCCAGTCCGCATGTTTATTACAAAAGTTACAATTATACCTATACAATTTATAAAAATAAAATGACATTAACAATAAATATGGATTTACCATTGGTAAAGTGATTCATGCCTGTAGGTTGTAGGCACGGCGAATCGTAGGGTTATTTTCTACCTCGCCGAAGGTCCACCTTAAGAGGGAATCGCAGTTATCCTCCAATCCTGAGTGTTTCACTTTCTTATAGTCACAAATTTACCAAAGGTTACTCGTCCAACAGACAAATGCCATAACATAAATTTCTAGTTTTCATTTTCGTGTTGTACTCAGATAATCTAAAGTTAGGTTAGTACTTTTACATTTAAGGGGCCGAGGGCATAGTTGAATAAAAAAAGCCCGTCAAAAGATAATGTTAGGCTTTTTTGCTAATCGTTAAGCCCGCCTTGCCTCCTCTTACAGAAATTCAGACTTTGCATTTCGAAAAAGGTAGCTGGAGAAACAGTTTTTGCTTTTTTTGATGATATCCGTTTTAATCCTCTTAAATTCTTTCACTATACGTAACTCAAGACCAAAAGTTCTGATGTTGCTTGTTATAACTTATGAACGTGAGTATTTTGGGAAAGTGGCAGTATTGGTCATTTTCCGAGCGAAGATTTCTCAAATTGCAGCCCATATATTGTAGGCAAAATGATGTTTTAGAACTCAATTCTCAGTTTCATCAAACCAGTTCAAATACTGTTCGCCATTCAGTCCTCAATTTTATTCAAATTCGAACAACTATTTCTCATAATGGTAAACATGTTAACTGACCCGCTTAAGCAGTCGACTGTGCATTTATCCATACGATGATTTCGTTGCGTTCAACACACTCGCATTTCGAGCTCCGCAATCGCTCTGAAATTATATTTCGAAGTCATTACCATATCCAGCCGAACTACTGGATTATAAAATTATATTTGATATTAAAAGTGAACTACTGGAGTCTCATTGGTTTCTTACTTTGGAACACATATTTCAGGCGGTATCTTATTCCTGGCACTTCACTTTCGTACTCCTTCCCCTTCTGCCTGGGATAGATCTACCGCACCTACGTCTCGCAAGTGTCTATTGAAAATTATGGTTGTCATGCAAAAAATCTCGTGCGACGGATGTATCCAATTAAACCAATGACTAATTACATTAAATAGTGTGATTATTCTCTAAAATCAAGAAGATTCTGTCATGTTCTCCAAACCGAGAATTTTGCTGGGAGCACCAGACTATCGATTCAATTACCGTATTTTCAGGTGGACCCCGCGGTCCTTGCGTCTTGTAGAAAAAAAAAACAAAGGCTCACCTGCGTCCCGCTGTCGCGTTGATGGAGGAGCTTTAGCTGTTGTGGCTCATCGTAAAATTACCACTAGATTTATGGCAAGCAATATGGAACACTTCATCGTATATCCAGGTTCGAGTTCTCAGGAACGCCATGTCAATTATGTTCTTTGAAAGAAACATATGCCAACCGGGGAATTTCTCTGTTTGGGAGAATAAGCTGAAAGTACATGTAACCAAAAGGTTCAAGCTATCTGTATAATAGGTGTATTGCATGGTCTGTTTGGTAGACCGGAGAATGAGCTGAAAATACATGAAACCAAGAGGTTCAAGGTGTATTGCATGGTGAGGCTGTCTGTATTGAAGACCAATGGCGAGGCGTGAATGATCGATTATCGATTTTTCCCCATTTGAAGACCTGGTTAAAGATCGATAATTAAGGTGTTAGTTGCGAACACCCTGTTTATCGATCCTTTCCCATACCTAAGTTTGAATGACAGATCAATCGATGTATCGCAAAGCACGCCACGCCGCTATTAGAGGCCGTAGGAACATCTAGATTCTTGGCCGCATTCTTAGTTGTTCCTGAAGCAATTTTTTCCCTCGGGAAGACTTTCCGTTTACCTCACGCTATTCCTCTTCATCGCCCGGAAAGTCAGGTTTTTTGATTAGTTGAGACGAATAATTTCTTTTCAACTCATTCATTCAATCACTGCATTCAAATTCTGCTCATCCATCGCTCATTCATGAATGTTCATTGGATGGGACCAAAATATAGAATCACAGTCAGTTTGATCGTAGATGCGCGATAGATCAGATTTCCAGATCTATGACCTGGATCTATGCAAGTAAATAATCAGCCTGCAACAGTGTTACCGCATCTACTGCCTGTAGGGTACGCTTAAAATCTCATTTTAATCGGACTTATTTATGCTGGAAAAAACTAAATCACACTCAAACCTTTGCGTATAGGAAATACGTATGACCTTTTAGCATAAATACGTCCATAACCAAAAGTGAGTGAGCGAACGCGGATGGAAGCAGGATATGCGACAGTCAATCCTTCTTGTTATGTCACTAAATCTGTTGGAACAATATCCCTATGCTCGTAATTGGGTCGAATTTTTGGCGAAATTGGTAGTAGTTTTCTCAATTAATATTTGAATATATGATACGTGAGAAAATGCATTCTTATTCAAAGGCATATTTTCATTTTTCAGGCACTCGCCAAAAAAAAGTTTAAAAAAATAAATCGTGTGACAGGCCCATCGGAGTTTTCGACAGTCATGCTGCCTTGCTAAGGAAAAACACCGTATGAACCTTCAGGCGTTGCCAAATTTCTTCCGAGAAAACGCAAATTTTCTGGTAAATTTTCGAATATTTTTCTCCCAATTTCTCCGATGATTTTTTTTGCAATTTCACCTAAAGTTCCTGAAAATTCCCAAGAAAAATACTCATAATTTTCCTGAAAAATAACCATTTTATCAGAGGAAATTTGGCAACTCCCAAATGTTCATACGGCGTTCTTCCTTAGCACGGCAGCATGGACCCTGAAAAGCCAATTCCCGAAATTGTTAAAAGAATCCTCATTTATACTAATTTATCACTGGAAGGTTTTTTTGTTGCATAATGGTTTTAATAGTCATAACCTTAGCTTTGTTCGAGGGAGAACGGGTTTCTGCGAGTCTTTTTCTAATCCAATATATATTTTCTCCGTGCCCGTAAATTTTTCCCGAGCGAAATTTCGAGGAAGTTGGCAGTGCCAATGAGAGCGCTTTTCATGAAAAATGTTTCGGCAATAAATTCTGCGCGCTAAGAAAGCCATACCTCTGCAACTGACCTCAGGGACATTTGCTTTCCGGGTATCGGACGTTACCAATTTGCCGAGGTGCCGAAACTAGCTAAATATTGTTGAACATTATTTCATACATTTTTAAAATGGGCACGCTACTTTATTCTACCTTCCATTCCCGAAAAACCCACCCGGAATAGTGGAGAACGGCAGACTTTTTCAAGCCTGTTCTCTTTTGATGCACAGTTACGAACTAACTATTATTTACTTTTATCTGTTTATGCATGGCCGAAGGTCAGCTGGGATAACTTACGTTAATTTGGAGCCAATGGGCCTTGTGCTGAATGTAAAACTAAGTGCACCTCGTACATCTCATTTTGTTCCAAGATGGAGTATATAAGGAGCCAAGCGGAGGCGTCTCCTATCAATTTCAGCATCGCGTATCATTGAGTCTATAGGAAACAGCTCCACGAAACTATACAGGGTTACTCAAAAGTCACGCACCATGCACTGGCCTTAACTTGAGTTCTAATTATGACATCGACCTGCGGTTTAATACGTTTTTCCTCATATCTAGGGGGAAAAGTTTTTCGGTACTTTTCAGTTTTTGATCTCCTCGGGGGCGGGGGGCAACTCAAAAATTTCAAATGGCCACCACCCTCACGGCCAGTGGTGTGTGACTTTTATAACCCTGTCTATTTATTCTCTATTTATGGATGTCTAATGATTAAACCGAGTGGTACTTGTACATTATAATCATACAGTATACTTAAGTAGAGCCATCATCTGTACAGAATTTGAGGGGTTGAATGCAATTTTATCCACCAGAATTCGCAAGATTCTAGACAGTTCTGCGGCGCAGAGTTACCCACCTCAGAAAATCGGTGCCCAACAACCAGCGCACAAAACGTCGCCCCTCAGGCGTAAGGGCGTATCTCAATCCCCATGTAAGCCCTGTTCTTCGTATAGCACCGTGCTTTCCAGGACTCATGTGGAAATAGAGATATGCCCTTACGTCAGAGGAGCGACGATAAGACCCACACGTTGTCCAAGTTAAATGTTTCGAATCGCCTGGAAAGAGGGAACGCAGCTATCCGGTGCCAAATCCTTGGGTGTCGAGTATTCGACTTAGTTTGAATGGAGATGTTGCATGTGTGAGGAATTTGCGATTTGACTATAGATTTTTTGTAAAAGTTCGCGAGAAACACGATGGTGCCACTGGTTTTCTCTGAAATTAACTCCGAAGCTCAAAAAAAGCTCTCAAGTTGAGGCCAAAATGGAGGGGATATCCCACGCTATCTTGAGAGTCCACCTCTACATCAAGACGAACTCTTCATGCAAAGATAGGAAGCAAATACATTAGCAGGGTTTCCGTGTTTTCAGTTTTGGAGTCCCCAAATAAAGTGGTAGCCTTGTCAATGTATTTGCTCCCTATCTTTGCATGGAGAGTTCGTCTTGATGTAGAGGTGGACTCTCAGAATAGCGTGGGATATCCCCTCCATTTTGGCCTCAACTTGAGAGTTTTTTTTTGAGCTTGAGAGTTGATTTCAGAGAAAACCGGTGGCACCATCGTGTTTCTCGCGAACTTTTACGTAAGAATCTATAGTC